AAGGAAAATTCTTGTCCCCCGTTTCCAGAAATGAAGGCCTCCTTCCGACTGCAAATTTCGTTGGCTCGATAGCGCTCGCGAGCGGCCGCCAGCCACTAGACCCTGTTTGTGGTGGGGAATGCTAGGCAGTCAGATTTCCTAATCACGATTTGTGGTGGGGTGCGTATTGGTCCCTGGTTTTCTATGCCCTTTCTTCCATGTCCGACCTGACACACGGGTGTGGTCCCCTTGCTGCCATAGCTTTTGATTCCTTTTTGCATGCGTGTGTTGGTTTTGACCTTCGCTGCAGCTCCACGTGCTATTTGCTGCCATCATGTAATTATTTGTCTAAGATACTGATGTATTTAGACACATTTTAGTGTTAGGTGCATTTTTATTTAGACAAATATAAGACAACTAATTTGGTACAAGACACCACTAGTATTTAGAAAAATTAACACCATGGCTACTGTTTTGCGGCCGCTGTGTGCAACTAGACCCTGTAGTGAAACCAACTTTTGCCTAGATGTGTGCAAATAGACACAAGGTTTTGCAGATAGCCCAAACTAGAAACATGGACTGGATGTTCCTGTTTGTGCAACTAATCACAGTTCCAACAATGCCAACTTTTTATGCAATGTGTGCAACCAAACAACCAAATACTAGAAAATATGGACTGGATGTACTGTTTGTGCAGAAAGAAGCACATATTTGCGCAACTAAAAAAACATGGGTTCCAAAAGAAACCTTTTTATGCCATGTGTGCAAATAGAAGGCTATATTTGTGCCAACTAAAACATGGATCCAAAACCAACTTTTCCTTCTATGTGTGCAACCAAACAGCCAAGACTAGAAAAGAGATGTGCAAACTAACCATGGATCCAAAAGCCAGCTTTTGCTGTAAATGTGTGCAATCAACACACACAGACATGGATGTGTGCAGTCTGTGCAAAAAAAAACATATTTGTGCAACTAAACATGGATCTAAAGCCAACTTTTGTTGTAAATGTGTGCTACTAAAACATGAATCCAGGCCTCCAAACAGCTTGTGGCAGAGGGGGGGACTTTTGTAATGGGCTCAACTTATTGTTCAACTTCACCAACCTCCCAGGAGATGCCCTTATCCTACCAGCTTGTGACTGTCGTTCTGCATTATCTTCTTCATTACCCTCACCCCCTGCACAATATCATGAAGGTGAAAAAAGGTGATTAGTTAACACTGCATAATTTTTTTGTTGTTCTTTAGAAATCTGGATTAAAAAAGTTGAGGATGCCAACACAGTATTTTGTTAACTGTGCAACTAGAAATGCTAAGGATGCCAACTAAATACATACTCTTGTGCAACTAGAAAAAGTCTTGAGTATGTCAACTAGTTAGAAAAGTATTGTGCAACTAGAATTGTCGAGGATGCCAATTAATTGGATACTACTATGCAAGTATAAAGTCTGAGGGTGCCAGAGATACTCTTGGGCAACCCTCAAATTTTTTGGAGATGAGACTAAATTATATACTGTTGTGCAACTAGAATGACTGAGGATGTCAACATTATCTGCTTCATTTCTCTCATTCCATTGAAAATATCTTGGGGTTCGCAAAAAAAGGCAGAGGTGATTAGTTATCATTACATACAAATATTTGTTCTCTGGAAAACTAGATTAAAAAGTTGAGGATGGCAACTTGATATCCTGTTTGTTCTGCAACTAGAAATGCTGGTGATGACAACTAATGAGATATTCTTGTGCGACTAGATATGCTGATGATGCCAACTAATGAGATATTCTTGTGCAACTAGAGAGGCTGAGGATGTCAACTACTTGGATAATGTTGTCCAACTAGAATTGCAGAGGGTGCCAACTAAATAGATACTCTTATGCAACTAGAAAGCCTGAGGGTGCCAAGTCATTAGATACTGTTGGGCAATCCTCAATTTTTTTTAAGATGAGACTAATCTGAGTCTTGTGCAACTAGAGAAGCCAAGGATGTCAACTAGTTGTATAATGTTGTCCAACTAGAATTACTGAGGTTGCCAACTAATTAGATACTATTGTGCAACTAGAAAGCCTGAGGATGCCAAGTTGTTACATACTCTTGGGACAATTCTAAAAAACTTGAAGATGGCAACGTTGAGCAACTGAGAAAGTTGAGCATGCCAATGCTTAATTAGTCCTTCTGCAACTATGTATGAAAATTAATACACTTGGCTGCCTGTATGTGGAGTAAAAAATATTCCTGATGGAATTTTATGTTACCTCAGCGGCTGCTGCAGAAGATGTGGCATCTACCCCTTTGGATACTGCCTTCATGCGCACCTTTCTTCTCTGCGGTTTTACTAAGAGGAATCTTTCGCCACCCTAAAGTTGTGTAAGGAAAAAATTAACAAGCATAAAGGGTTGAGAAAAAATTAAACATGTATGTGTGCCATATAAAAAACCTAAAGAACAAAAGAAAAATGAAGGAAAATAAATTCCAAAGGACTGCTGTTCTCCACTCACATCGTCATCCTCTCCATCCCCGTCCTTATCATCGCCATGCGGCTGCCGCTTAGCAGCCCTTTTTGAGTGCCGTCGTGAGATCGGATTTGCAGAACCCTACAATGAACAAAAACATTGGGATGTTAAGAGGGTAAAAGAAAAGGGCATAATAAAAATGGTCAGAGGATAAAACCCAAAAAATTAAAGTGGTAATAGGGCAAAAAGAAAAAAAATGGGAACCTCTGTTTCATTGTCAGGCACATCTCCTTCTCCAGCCATTTTGGTCTCTGCAATAAAAAAATGCGAACAATGTATTAATCAAATTAACAGAAGTTGCACAGGGGCGAGAAAATGTGGTGGGTTGGCTACTTTTATATATGAAGTTGGCTAGTTTGAATTAAAAGAAAAGTTGCACATGATTTGCTGCCCAGTTGAACAAAAAATAAGTGCCACCAAAAACACAATACTCCATCAGAAGAAAAATTAAGTTGGTTATTTTTAACATAAGGTTGGTAAGTTCTATCTAACAAGTTGCATAAAAGGGGCTGCCCGGTTGCACAAAAATGGCTAAAAAAGGAAACAAATCTGCAAACTCCTACACTATTGCAGGCCAACTGAGCAGCCCGCCGAGCATATTGTGTGTGTGCGACTTAAAATTATTGTGTGTGCAACTAGACTACATTGCAGGCCAACTGAGCATATGTGTGTGCAACTAGTCCTGCCAACTAAATATCAATGTGTGTGCAACTAGATTACATTGCAGGCCAACTGAGCATATGTGTGTGCAACTAATCCTACCAACTAAACAACAAATGTGTGTGCAACTAAATTACATTTGCAGGCCAACTGAGCATATATGTGTGTGCGCGCAAAAACACCCCAGAGTGCATGAACAAGCTTTTATGCAATGTAGTCAACTTCCCTGCCATTTTTGTGCAACTACATAATCTAACTAGCCAACTACATAATGCTCTCCGTGCAGCTACCCAGATCTTTCAAGTAAATACATAGGGGAGTGGGTGCACCACCACCTAGCATCTCGTCGTGTAGTCCCAACGCAACACACATTGAGACCGAAGTAAGAAATCCATCCCTATGCCCCACCTACCCACCACAGCCATGGCGACCGGAACCTCACCGGAAACTGCAGCTGCAGACATGAAACACCAAATCTGGGGCCTAGGTCATCCTCCGTGTAGGAGCTCGGAGGCGTGACGCCCGACCGGCAAGCTCGACTGCCAATGCATATTTTTACCACAAAAACGTTTCAGCCTGTAAATCATGGACGCCCAAAAGCCCATGTTATCTAAAGTAGCTGAAAATGAGACAACCACAAGTACACCCAAAGAGGCTGAATGCTTGAGGAGTCATCTGTAGTCCAGAACACTGAACCTAGACCATGTGGTAAACCTGCACTTATAACAAACTGAGAAGACATCTGTAGTCCTCTCATGGTAATTGCTATGAGCATATCTACTCTCCTACAGTGATCCCAAAACCAAACTTCTACTTCTTCTTTGAACGGTCAATGTGTGTCACAAACTACAAGTTCAGAAGATAGTAATCCAAAAATAGCAGCACATTCATTGCTGGGAGGAAACATTTTTATCTGAACAGTCATATACTACAGCTCATATTTCTTTGGAGCTGCACATACCTCTGCCGACAGAAGAAAGTTGGCACATATGTTCAATCTCCCACCCAAGTATGCAGCAACAACACCTAGATGGCACTGTAATCGACCGTCGGCGTTGGGGACCTAGGGAAACAGGCCCCCTGACCGCGGCGTGCGTCGCTAGGAGGAGGCAGCAGGAGGGGAACGGCCGGGCGCGTGCTAGGCGTGGCGCGCGTCGCCAGGAGTAGGCAAGTGGAGGAGGCGGCCGGGGTGTACTTGGCGCTGGGAGGTGGCTGGAGAAGTGCGGTGGCCAAGCCCGTAGCCGAAAGGAGGACCGCGGCGGCCCTTTCCCGTCGGGGCTGCGGCGGCTGGGCGACCCCTGCTCCTGCTCATAGAAAGAGCAAGGAGGAGACGGCGGCACTGCTGGTCCGGCTTGCCGGCTGATCTGCTCTCCAGGCTCATCCGGTCCGCCGCCTCGCCTCGACCTCCCTAGCCGCTGCCTCACCGGATCTGATCTAGACAAGGAAAAGAGGATAAGGAAAGGCTTTTTTCTCGGAGAGAAAGTAGTGAAGGGAGGATAGTGCGTGGGCTCTGAGCCTCCGACCAGATAACACCTGCGCTTGCGGGCCGGTGGATTCGACGCATCGAGCGGTCGCGGTGCGGCCGCTCGTCTCGACCAAATAGTGCATGTGCACTTTTAAGATTTTAGGTTTTTTTAGAATCATGCTAAAATAATCAGTTAGTAAATTGTTTCCCATTAACCTGTTGCTAATATTCGGTAACCAAATCTTCCGCCCAAAAAATTATGAAAATCGGAATCCGAACAGCCACGAAAGGATGCGCCTGACCAAGTGACCATTTATAATCGCACGCCCTAGCCCTCGTCGCATCACCTCCCCGTGGCGGCGTAACGACAAAGAAGAACTCCGAAGCCATGTCGTCGTCGGCGAGGGACGAGGAGGAGGAGGACTCGAAGCCGGCGGTGGCGCCCCTGTTCGTGACGCTCAAGGTGGTGGACCAGAAGCAGAACCTGGTGCGCCACACCATCAGGACGACCGACAAGCTCCAGGCCGTCCTGGACATGTACTACAGCAAGGTCCCCGGCGTCGAGTACGGCACCGGCACCTTCCACTTCGACGCCGTCCGCGTGGTCGGCTGGCGCACGCCGGCGGAGCTCGAGATGGAGGACGGCGACGTGATCGACTTCTTTGAGCGGCAGGAAGGCGGCGGTTTGGCTTTGGCCGCGTGATGGGTGTCCTCCCGGTGGTGTACGTCGGCCGTCGTTGCCGATTTCCGATGGATATGTGTCCAATCCTGTTATGCATCCAAGTCGAACTTGTTAAGAAATTATTCCCCCTATCTTCTGCTTCTTCCGTTTCTTCCTCGTGGCAGTGAATAAAAGGGCGGCGGCGTTTGTTCTTGGGGTCGGGAGATCAAGGATGCAGTCCGTGGCTAGCTCTTGGTTCCAGATCTGGGGTTCTATCCAGATCTTGGTTCCCGTTTCCTTGTTTTAGGTTCAACAAAATTGCCTGCTCATTTCTCCTCGAGTTGCCGGTGTTGCTTAATGCTTCTTCAGATTCCTGGAGCTCTGTTCTTCCTCCTCTTGGTGGTCAGGATCGTAAGTCAGGGCAGTGCATGGTCTTCTTTTCCAATGCAGGTACCGGATCCCCTTCTCTAGCCGGCGAGAGGGCTCCATTTTCTCGCTTCACCAGGACGGCCGACGGCTGGCGACGTGGGTTCCGGTGGCGGCGGACGAGAGAAAAGGTACTGAAATTTTTTAAGCCGCAGTGTCGCGGAGGAGTCAAAATAGAAGAGTTGGGCACTGGAGTAAACTATTTTCCCCCCTCTAAGGCTTTGTTCGGTTACACCCTGCCCTAAAAGGATTGGAGGGGATTTGAGGAGGATTTGACTTGTAGAGGATTTAATCCACCTCAATCCCTGTCAAAACCTCTCCACAACCCTGTCAACCGAACATGGCCTAAGGGATCGATTAGATGCAGTTAACTCTTTATTTTGCTCCTCTAAAACCATATTGAGGATCTGTTAAGGGTGCTCTTAGATTGTACTACTAATCGACAACCAACAAATTGATTTTTAACAGTTTTGCTAAAGCATGTCTAGATGTGCTCTAAGTATTATACATATAATTTCTACGTTATTGAGTTTACGTGAAGATTCCTGTGGATGTTTTTTGTTTTTTACTTTTATTATGTTTGACACATAGATGTGCAATACTTAGGCAGACCATACTCAAAAGCCCAAGTTTTGACGGTCCCAAAATCCTAAAATTCTCAAAAAACATTCTAGTATTTTAGTGGCTATTCAAGGGACTTTTAAGCTCATTTCAGTGAGCAATGTTAGAGTCATCGTTTGGCGGGGCGAGGGATCCCGGTGTCTTAGTGTCTTCGCTCACGTTGGTAGTTTAGGTTGGATTTTTTTACAGTCCTCGCATGTGCGGGCACTCAAGCGACGCTTCTTCGAGTTTTTCTTCCAAGCCATCTCCTTGGGACGTTGAGGTTAGGGTTTCTTGTCATGTGCTGAGATTTGATGTTTGATGCTTTAGATCAATGTAATTTTAATTATGATTGAGGTGCTTCATAATTTCGGAGAACTTTTATAATAGATATGATTCTTTCCTAAAAAAGAAAAAAAAGATGTTTTCAAGATTTTTTTAATAAAACCAGAGAAAATCATGAACTGCTTCAATAACTAGTACAGTACTCTCCAGGTAAACAAATATAAGACATTTTAGGTCACTAGAGACATCATTTGTTCCCATGGAGTCCAGAAAATAGCGACATAACCGAACATCACCACTTCCCTGTACCTCCCAGTGAAAGCAGCAAACCAATTACCATACAAGTCATTTAAGCATGAAGGGTTACAGTCAATGTCAATATCTCTAGAGAGGCACTTGCAACATCCCAAAACATATCTTGCGAGAGGAAATTGGAAGAACAGGGGCTCATCACAAAACTCACACAAGTCAACTTCCTTCCATCCCTACTTTTTTCAGGTTGTCCCTTGTCAGAATACAGTTTCAGGCTACCAACCAACAGAAAACTTAGGGGAAGCTCAAGGATCCACAACATCGTATACGGAGAAATAACCCTCTTAGTAATAATCGGATAATGGCTACATAGAAATTCAGAGAATTTAGCTGAGTTGGTCAAAAGCCACATCACTCTATCTTGTTCCTCTATCAGGCTCACCTGACTGCACATAGTGAGAGCATCCTCTCAAAAAGCGCCTAAATGGCCAAAACCTGTCTATGCCCCTGGAGAAAACTTTATGAACGGTAATATTATGAGAAATCGTCTTGTTTTCATATCGTCACCAACAATGCTTTGACAGCACTTATAAAACCAAACCTTAGCTTCAACAACACCAGCCCAGAAGTGGGGAATGCCCAGGATTCGGTTTACATTGACGATATGACAGCCTCAATTCGTATCCTAGCTCGTCTGAGAGCGAGCTTCGCTTCAACCACCTCCCTTTAGATACTTGTCTCTCACCAAATCCTGCCACTCCCCTGCTTCATTTTCTAATTTCCAAATTCACTTCCAGAAGAGACTAATACTTCTAATCTGCAAACCAGTGGAACCCAGCCCCCCTTGTTCTCTAGGTTGAAAAACATCAGGCCATCGAACCAGGTGAATTTTTTTCACCCCCTGTTTCTCTTGCCACAACATTCTAGCTCGAAAAAAAATCAAACCACTAGTCACCCCTACAGGAACTCTTAAGAAAAGATAGCATACAACATGGAATGTTACTTAAAATGTATAGACATTGAAGGTAAAGTGATGAGCCGGACTACAGCTATACCAAAACAAGTGACCTCACTCTTGTGCAAATTAATATTCAAACCAGCAAAATGTAAAAATGCACAAAATAAACTTTAGATTTCTGGCACTCCCTACAAGAGTTGGTGATGGCCTAAAACAAGAAAATAGCATTGTTGGCATACTGGATGATGACTAGCCCATCATCCAGCAAATTGGTGACTAGACCCTTAATCGAGCCATGATCTTGTGCTCTCTTAATCAAGACAGCCAAGACATCAGCTCCAATGGTAAATAAAAGTGGGCAAAAAGGGATCCCGCCCCCTGCCTAAGTCCTTTCCTAGTGTTTAAATATTTTCCGAGTGTGTCATTTAACCATAATGCACACTCAGTTCATACCTACTTGTAATGACTTATTCGTCTTAACACTGCAGAAGGCTTAGCACAAATGATTAAGGAATTTCACATGCACAGGTTCAGATGGTAATCGTAGCATACTACAGAAAACCTGTGTGCATGCTATGATACCCTGAGAAAGTTTATCAAAATTAAACTTTAAAACTTGATCAAACCAGCAAAAAGAACATAAAAAGAAAGACTTGTTCAAGAATAGAGCATACAACATGATCTGAACTTTTTAAGGCTTCCAAGTTCCAATCAATGCGTGCAATATGCCCAGTAAATATTAACCTTCATCATTTTCACCGATAAAATATAGCCTCATCTAATGGTTGCTATTGTTTTTCGAAATAACACCGAATTATTAAAAGAGATTTTGTTATGTACCAACACTCACAAGGCGATCTCCAATCTTTCACATTGCATATGTGAGGGTAGAGTAGTAATACAGCTAAAAATAATATGTATTTAACCAGTACACATTAATTCATGAAAGAAACTAGCTAGTACACGGCATGTTTGAGGCCTCACGATACCATAAACACTTCTACTCATAAGTACTCCCTCCGTCCGAAAATACTTGTCATCAAAATGGATAAAAAGAGATGTATCTAAAACTAATATATGTCTAGATACATCCCCTTTTATTCATTTTGATGACAAGTATTTCCGGACGGAGGGAGTATATGACTACTCTGGAATCAACAACTAGATCCACTAAAAACACTGTTGATGTAAATCTGCAGTCTTAACAAGATATAGAGGAGCTCATAACACTGTGTACATCACCTACTTCACTACTTCTGGTTTGCCTGGTTGAGTAGCTGTCAAGGTTTTCGAGTCGACGAGTCGTTCTGGGGTAGCGACTCTTGACGAGTCGTGCCGTGCCGATCGACTAGTCTCAATTAGTCGAGGTGTTTGAGTCCACTTCCAGTTATGACTCATCAACTAGTCGTTCGACTCGAAAACAGGGGTAATTGTGGCTTATTAAAAGATTGAACTATTCTGCATCCAAGTTGCAAAACTTGAGAATTGTTAATGTGGTTCATTGATCTTGTAAATTCTCTTGCTGTAGAATCGTCTAACTGCAAAAAAATCTTCTACGTGTCTGGGTGATACTCCAGGGCCATTGCATTTACCAGAAAGTCAAGGCATTTGAACATTTGATATCTCAGACCTCGCGGGGCAAGGTGGAAAGATCCTTGTAACAAGATGGTCTGAAACTTTTCACTTGCCAAATTTGTCTACATTGGCTCTAGAGAGGCCATTCCGTTGTTTGTTTTTTCGATCAACTTTGTAAGGTTTGGTAATTCCATTAACAATATCAGGAATATTTCGTCCACTATCAAAATGAAAGAGGCTCCTAAAATGAAGAAGCCAAATAAAGCTGAAACAGCCCCTAGTGGATAGGCAATATGTGGAGAGGAACTCTGCTTAAGAGGCCAAAACTGCTCCTAGTGTGAAGTGCAGTGGAGACTGGAGACAGATCAGTGCCCAGTGGAAGGCATGAAGGAAGCTGTAAATTCAGCTGAGTCTGATGCTGTCATCTGGTAAATCAACTTAGAGCACAAATGCAGAAATGCTGAAGCGCACAATAACCTTAGGTCACTAATATATACCGCAATCTTTCAGAGTGTCAGTAGTAAATGGTTTAACTTCTGGCTTAATTCCCACTAGTAAGTTCTTCAGAGCATAAAGATGGATTTTCTACACGCAATTGGATAACATCACAAAAGACCAACCTAATTGAACTGAGCACCCCTGTCCGTGGTGCTGTCTAATAGAGTAACAGTACAAAATGGTGGCTACCTAATCACATTCCTTAGCACGAGGTTTGAGCCAGCGGATCTTACGTATTGCTCAACAGCTCCCGGGGCTCCATCTGTGCAGGCCGTCACAACTGAGGGTGGCACGCGAGAGCTGCTGTTGGACGCTCTTCAAAGCAATCTCCAATTGTTAGTGTATATTTTGGTATATGTGTATTTGGTAGTATAGGATTCATATATCTCTCCTACCTTATCTCTGCAAAGACTTCTTGTCCTCCAGGACATGTACACAATATATACTG